TAGTCATCCTATACACCTTACCATGAGTTGGAGAGAAGGCAAGAGAAGCTGGAGTTTCTAGAGGCAGGAAGTTTAGTTTAAAGGGTATGAACATGATTTGCCAAAGAGATAATAAGGTTTGGACTACATTTATGCCAGCAAAGAGGACAGGAGAGATTAATTCATTCAATAAACGATTGAGTAGGTACCTACTAAGTGTCAGGCATTGTTGTAGACACTGGGAATACAGCAGCAAACAAAATAGATCACCCCTTGGGGCTTTCAAGTGGAGTATTGGTGACAGAGTGGGTGAAATTGGATATTGGGGAAAAGGAGAAAGGTGCGATGAGGGGTCATTGGTAACTGGATTTCTCACCTTGAAAAACTAAGTGATATCATTGGACCTGTTGGGTAGACAAGGTCTAGGGGACATCCAGATGGACTCATTCTCACAGCTAGCAAGAGAGACATTCTGAAGATCAATAGTAAGGGAGAAACTGGAAGTACAGACTTTGGGGTCCTAAGAGGTAGTTGTAACCATGGGAGTAGATGATACTATCTAAGAACATGAGATGTGAAAGGAGTGGACCCAAGCTAGAACCCTGCAAAGCACCTGCATCTGTAGAGTAAGTGGAGGAAGGGGCAGAGTGCTTGAATTTGTTGAGTGCCTACTAAGTTCCAGGTGCTTTGACATTTTGTCTCACTGAGATTTCACAATAAATATATAAGATAAATAGTTTTGCCCCTTACTTCCCGCCCCCCCCAAAAAAGAAATGGAATCAGAAGTGTAGGAGGAGAACTAGGGGAAATTAGGAAGTGAAATTTTCATCAGGGCAAAATGATGCTGATGGATCAAATGGGATAAGAAATGGGAAAAAAATCATTTTACACCTTTATCCATCAATATTTAACCAAAATTGTGTCATTGAATTTGATCATTGACATTTTCTTACTCTGATATCTCATATTCAAAAGGGAAAGAAAATCAACAACACAATAAATAACCCCCTCAGGAATGCAGTGGAAAAGCAAGGCTTGGTATGTTGTTTTGCATAAAATCTTGCTTTGCCAGCATTAATACTAACAGATAGCATGAGAAGAAGCAAAAGTGTTGGCTAAATGTACCATAACTTCCTTGGAATAGTTATCTGTAGTCTATTTTTTTTTCTCTCATCTAAAGTTCTTAGACGAAAGAGAGCTGGGTTACTGTGGAACAAAATCTCCTGCTCAGAAACCAAAGTATGAGGCGTGGTGCAGCGGCTCATACCTGTAGTTCCATCCCCTTGGGAGGCTGAGATGGGAGGCTTGCTAGAGGCCTGGAGTTCAAGGCCAGCCTGAGCAACATAGGAAGACCCCCAACTCTAGGCCGGACACGGTGGCTTATGCCTGTAATCTCAGCACTTTGGGAGGCCGAGGCGGGTGGATCACGAGGTCAGGAGTTTGAGAATAGCCTGGCCAAGATGGTGAAACCCGGTCTCTACTAAAACTACAAAAATTAGCTGGGCGTGGTGGCGAGCACCTGCAATTCCAGCTACTCGGGAGACTGAGGCAGGGGAATCGCTTGTACCCAGGAGGTGGTGATTGCAGTAAGCCGAGATCGCACCACTGCATTCCAGCCTGGGTGACAAAGCGAGACTCCATCTCAAAAAAAAAAAAAAAAAATAGAAAGACCCCCAACTCTGTTTAAAAAAAAAAAAAGAAAAGAAAAAAGAAACCAAAGTATAAAAACAAAATTATGAGACTGACCCTTGGAATTAACTAGTGAAAAAGACATTTTAAGGGGAGCAAAAAGGCATGAAGAATCTTGTCAGTAAAATCTTTTATTTGGTTTATATTTCAAATGTAATTTTAAAGGTTCATAAACCAGGAAATTCGATAATATGAAAGCAAGGAGAAACTAAGCTGCACCATTTAGCGAAGCTCAGGGACAACATTCATTTATAACAAATAAAAAATTTGAGTTTTCCCATGCCATCAGTTGTACTTAAACACATCCATCATATTTCAGTTGCAAAAGATGGTGAAGAACTCAAGCTGAAGAGCTGTCTGCTGATTTTTGTTGCTTCAGTAAGAGCTTTTCACCTATAAAGGACACACAAAGAAGAGTTTTGAATATTCTCAATGTACTTTTATAATTTTTAATAAACTTTTAATTGCAGAATCATTTTTGATTGACGGAAAAGTTGCAAAGATAGTACAGAGAGCTCTCAGATATCCAGCACCCAATTTTCCTCCTGTTGGTTAACATCTTACGTTACCATGGGAGGTTTGTCAAAATTAATGAGCCCATACTGACACATTATTACTAATCAAAGCCCATACTATCTTCAGATTACTTGGTTTTTACCTACTGTTTTTTTCTGTTCCAGCATCTCATCCAGAATACCACATTACATTTAAATGTCATGTTCTCTTAGGCTCCTCTAAACTGTGACTGTTTCTCATCCTCTCTTTGTTTTTGATGACCTTGACAGTTTGCAGGAGGAGTAGTCAGGTATTTTGTGGAATGTGCCTCAGTTTAGGTTTGTCTGATGGTTTTCTCATGGTTAGACTGGAGTAATGAGGTTTTGGGAGGAAGACCACAAAGGTAAAGTGCCATTCTCATCACATCAAATCAGGGGTGCAAACTATCAATATATTACCAGTGATGGTGACGTTGATTACCTGCCTCAGGTCGTTGTGTCAGGTTTCTCCAGTGTGGAGTTACTCCATACAGCATAGAAAGTGTACTTGCATGCTGTACTTTTCATACTGTACTTTTTGGAAGGAAGTCACCGTGCAAACCCCCACTTCAGGGTGGGGAATCATGCCGCTCTCCTTGAGGAAGGAGTATCCACCTAAATATGTGGAATTCCGTATGGCAGCTGTGTCTCTTCTCTCATACAGAAATTCTCAAAATTCTCAGTTTTCCCTGCTTTCAACACACATACTTTTCTTCAATTTTCAAATTTTATTCAATCATTTATGTTAGTATAAACTCATAAATAGTTGACACTTTGGGTTATAATCTAACACGACCTTATTTTATTCCTCAAAGTATCCCAGTTTGGACTGTGGGGAGCTTTTCCAGTTGATTCCTACGTCCTTTGTCTCAATCTATTTTAACGTAAATCATGTTGTTATTCCTTGCTCTTTCTCTCTTGTTTCTCCCCATTTCGATATCTGTGTATCTAAAGCTTTATTGCCAGTGAGTGATGTAGGGTCCAAGTTGATGAGGAGGAGTCAGGACCGCCAAGGTATTTTACTTCAAACCCATCTAAAGATTCAGTGAGATATTTTCCCTGAGGTTAAAGAAAACACTTGTGCTATCAGGACTCATTATCATGAATGTGTGGGTAGATATCTGATGTAAATTGTTTCATGTATTTATTTAAGTAAACAGTGTTGGAATGGTCTAACTCCCCATCTTTGCTTCTAGCCTCATCCTGTACAGTCTGTACTATATACTGCTATTAGATTAATATTTACTATTTTTAAATTGTATTTGTTTTTATTTTTACTTTTTAGTAGAGATGAGGTCTCGCTATGTTGCCCAGGCTGGTCGCTGGTGGTGAACTCCTGAGCTCAAGTGATCCTCCCACCTAGGCCTCCCAAACTGTTGGGATTATAGGCATGAGCCACTGTGTCCAGCCTTAGATTCATATTTCTAAAGTGTAGTTCTATTCGTTTACTTCAAGCCTGCAATAACTTCCCAATTCCTACCAGGTCATTAGCTTAGTATTCAGACATTGCATGCTAAGGCCCCAATTCACTTTTTAAAATCTTTTATTTTTTGTTATTTTTCTACTTATGCCATATGTTCTAACCAAGTTGGACCTAAGTTCATATTTTCTCTTTTTTTTTTTTGCCTCTCTAGTTTCATGAATATTGCTGATTAGAAGCAACATTTCATTTCTTTTCTTTCTCTTTTCCTTTTTTTTTTTTTTTTTGAGACAGGGTCTTATTCTGTTGCCCAGGCTGGAGTGCAGTGGTGTGATCATAGCTCACTGCAGCTTCTACCTCCCAGGCTCAAGTGATCCTCCCACCTCAGCCTCCCAAGTAGCTAGGGCTACAGGTGTGCACCATCACACCTAGCTAATTTTTGTATTTTTTGAAGAGACAGGGTTTCAACATGTTCCCCAGGCTGGTCTTGAACTCCTAGGTTCAAGCAATCCTCTTGCCTTGGCCTCCCAAAGTGCTGGGATCACAGGCGTGAGCCACTGCACTCAGCCTCCATTTCTATTAATTAAAACCACATCTTGAGTCAGTGATCCTCTGTTTGCCCCATCTAATTCACTTACTCCCTTGACCATCCTGCTGCGTGCCCTGGGAGGCGACCTGGGGACTACAGTGACACTTGGCTGCCCTCTGCCTTTCTGGTGGGTTCAGCCAACGGGAAACCCAGAAGCACATCCTAAAGTGAGGTCAGGGTACTTTTTCAGTTCTGTGGGTTGCCTCTGGCTGCTCAAAACCCTCTCTTGAGAGGATACTGTTTCTTTCAGGGCAGCCTTCTTCACACAGCTCTCTCCTTAAGGATTCAGGTAACTGCTCCCTCTTCTCCTCCCCGGGGCTGTTGCCAGGCAGATTATTACACCATGCCTTGTCATTTCCCTACAGTGCCCCACCCACACCTTTATACTTAGTCTTCATTAAATCCTTGAACTATCACAGTTTCAGTGCCATCAGTTTCTCGTTGTGAACTAATACACACTTCCTCTTTAGAATTAAAAATCACTTCTTTCAAGAAACTTTCACTTATACATCTTATAAGATGTGATCTTTTCCTCCTCTGAACATAAAATATCACTTTGTCTATAGCCATTAATTGAATTCTGCATTTTAGTTAGGGGTTTGCCTAATCCCCCTTTTTTAGTATAAAGTCTATAATGACAGAGGGACCAGCTTATTCATCTTGCCCCCCAACCCCACCACAATACCTAACAGTATCTTACCTAGTCTTAGATATTGATACATTGATACATTACTTGCAAAGACAATGTATACTTGATCCTAGATCCTTGATACATTACTTGCTAAGTAAATGAACATTTTTTTACATATCTCCCAAGAGTTATTTTTATTAACCTATACAGAGTCCTTATCACTTCAGGAAGGAAATTGGCTATTACAAAGAGTAGAAAAATTGTTTTCTTTCCATACTCAAGACATATTCTACAGGGGATGGAGTAAATCATGTTGATTTCTACTTAACTACATCCTCAATAGATAGTCCTGAGAAAAATTAGTTGAAAATGACTTGATTGAATTTCAGATGGTGAATTCCATATAACATTTCCAAATGTTCTAAATTCTATGTCCACCTCTTTCAAAGTTCAACTTCTCCAACAGGAGTTTTCTATTTAACCTCACCTTGCTATGATAGATGCTTTATGCCACAATCAATCCAAATATCATATAGTATGTTATTTTCATTGCTCTTCTATTTTATAATTATTTACCAATTCCTTTTGTCAACTTGTTTGTCTTAGCAGGGAAAATGTTTTCTAATTCTTTTGTATCTCACCATACTCTGGTATTTTACAACTGGTAAGTGCTTCCTTAATAGATCACCAGAATTCTGAGAAGTTTAGAAAATTCACCATTCCTTTATTTACTAAATTATGGTTTCAAAGTATGGAGCTATCTTCTTCATAAGAAGAAATTAAAGCCAATCTTGATATTATGATAGCACTTCAGGAGACTTAAGAAATAGCTATTGCTGAATTATTCAAAACAATGAGTAATTGACAAAGTCGTTAGTGATATTTCTAAAAACTCACATATTCTGAGAGGAATGTTTGCATTGACTCACCATCAGTTTTTAGAAAGCACGCATGGCTCTCCTTCTGTTGATATCTCTCTTGATTTGGCAAAGAGAACAATGAGGACAGCAAAGGGTTACCATATAGTCATCACAAATAGATCCCTGTTTGAAAACAAAAAAGAAATAAAAATATAAAATTCACCTATTTGGAATTAAGACTTGCCACATCTTGAAGAGAAGCAGAAGGCACTGCTCTTTAGGATTCAGAGTTTGGATGGATACATTTAAGAAATGTTACCTCGCTTTTTCATATAAATGTTGTCTCATTTTATGACAGAAAATATTTTTCTATACTTTACATTTCTGAAAATGTAGGAAGATGTCCAACCAAACTATCAAGTATGAGAGTTAAATATCTTTAGGAAGTGGAATTTCAAAACTCTTTTCTGGACCTCCTCTCTGTCACAGGAAGTTAGTAGAGGATGTGCTCCACCAAAATGTGGGTGTAAACCAAGGAAGAGGAAGATATGGGATATAAGAAGCAGGAGTCTAACATAGGAGAGAAGCTAATGGAATCTCCAGGGTCATGGTGAAGGGAGATCCCAGGATGAGAGCTAAGCACTAAGAATAATGGGCAACTAGTTCAAAAGGTAGTAGGACTGGAAGTGATTTCATCATGAAGATGAAAATGATAAAACATCTACGTGTTGAAGGTGTTGGGAAGAGATTTAGAAAACTGGCAAACAATTTGGGGTTAAAGGACTCATAAGTAAATAGAGGAAAAATACTAACAAAAAACTCAATAATTACTAATACCAGGAAAAACAAAATTGAGCAGGAAAAGCAATCATATTTACTACATGACTCAGCTCTGAAGTTGAATAAAACAAATATAAGAATCCTAACGTAAACACTGAATATGGAATTAACCATATAACTATATTGGAAAGAATGGGATGGGGGAGAGGGCACATGTGTGTGGTGGGGGGAGGAGGAGAAAACAGAACTAAATTCACATCTTCCCTAGTAGGAGGTTAACAGATAATGCCTCTAACTAAAAGTCAAGAAGTAGCAATACAAGTGTGTGATTTGGAGATATGGAGAAAAATTCCCAAGACATCAGCTCTAGGGAAGAAGTCAGGAAGAAACTTTTGGGGACTACTTTGTAAAATTAGATGATTTTAAAAACACTTTGTTTCAGGGTTTTGATAAATAAAGATATTAAAGCTGCATTAGAAAACAGTGGCATTTACATTCCTGGCATTTAATCGACTTGAAACTGAACACAGTCACGGGCAGGGCACGAGATGAACCCTAATCTCCATCAAGTGAAGGGTCTACAAACCATATCAAGCACTGATCTTAGAAGCAGTTTAGGGAGGGTCAGAACCTTGTAGCCTCCAGCTCCATGACTTCTAAACTATAATTTCTAATCTTGTGGCTAATATTAGCCCTACAAAGGCAATCTAGTCCCCAGGCAAAAAGGAGGTCTGCTTTGGGAAAGGGCTATTACCATGTTTGTTTAAACTATAAACTAAGTTTCTCCTAAAGTTAGTTCAGCCTACACCCAGGAATGAACAAGGACAGCTTGGAGATTAGAAGCGAGATGGAGTCAGTTAAGTTAGATCTCTTTCATTGTCTCGGTCATAATTTTGCAAAGGCAGTTTCACCACCTCAGTCTCCTGAAAAAGAGTTTCAGGCTAGGACTACAGGCGTGCTCAACTGCACCTAGCTGAAACTATTTTATATTGTCACTTAAAAATATTTATCATTTTGTGAATTACAAAAAAAAAAAAGCTTACTGACAGCACTTGTGAACAAAATTTAAAAATAATAAAAATTAAAACAATTTTAAATGCATGCTATAGATAATTTTAATGACAAATTGAAACACAGAACAATATTAAGTGAAAATAACAATCTAATCCCTTTCTACCCAATGTCATTACGAGAGATAAACTATTAATAATCTGCTGTGTATCCTCTTTCCTTAGCTTTTGTTCTATGCCTATGACTCATATAAATATAGATTAGACGAAGATACAGCTATGAACGTAGACATATAGAGTTTGGCATTTCAGGAGTTCTTTTGTTTTTGAAAAATGAGGTCATACTATCCTGTAACTTATTTTTCCTACTTGATATATGATAGACAATACTGTAAGACATTTCTATGTCTTGTTTTATGTCCTTGAGAGCTAAATCTTGTGACCATATGGGGATACTTTCTTTTGGTTTCCACCATCCAGAGGACAGGAATTTGGGGGTTCATGTCATAGTTAGTCCAAAAAATTTTTCTTGAGCAGATAAAAGCCTTGTGAGCTTGAAATTGGCTTCTCTAGGCTCCTTCTGGAAAAAGCAGTAGAAACTGCTCAGTGCTATATAGCTCAGCAGCCAAGGCGTTATCTTTTTGGCAGTGGCGGCCTGGGTTCAATTGTTGGCTTCTGAAATGATTCCTTTCTGGTTTGTTATTTGTGTAACTTTGCCATTTATTGAGGTGTTTTTCCACCAATGGATAGCTTCTGATTTCCCCTCTTGAATTTT